TGCACAACACCTTTTGTTAGTGTGTTTTGCGGCTAACAGTTAACCTCATTAAGGCCATCTTGCATTTGAAGTCTAAATTTCTACTAAAAATTAAACAACTTATCAACAAACATTTAAGTTGAGTTCTCTAAAGTTGTGATCAGGAACTTTTATCTTCTAATGACGTGCTCAACTGGCTGTACATTTTACGATAGATTTACCTGGAATATAGCTTACTGTTATAGTGTAGGGATAGTTCATTAAGTTCTTAGACGAAAACTGGCATACTTAATTGGCAGTATTAAATGCAGACAGAGAAATGAGCTGAGCCTGGGACAAACTGGGCACAGATTACCTCAGTCAAATTTTCAAAGCTACAAAATAAGGAAATTAATCAAAGTGGTCTGTGAGCAAACTGGTGAATTGAACAGATGAATTAAATTATTTTTTGGACCATGTTTAATGTTATCTGGTTTAGAGAAAATGTGGTTGATGTTCACATTAAGAGTACAAACAGTAGTTCAATGTGTGTGACTCGACCATTCAAGTCCCAGGCGAAATTCCTGATCCGCCAAATGATTTAATTGAATCTACTAATGAGTATAAGTCATTTATGAAGGACAGGAAACTACAAGTTCATTTCGGGCCCACGCATTACCACCTACGTGCTGCATGCATTGCTTCCAAGAATCCCGAATTTGATGCAAGTAATGACATGTTAATTACCGAGAATGACAAGAGGTCATTTAAAGAGCCACATAAGTGCCTAATTTATGAATTTAAATTGTAATGAACAGGCAGATGTAGTCATATTTTGTGCGAACGGCAAAGTTGCAAGTTATATCCTTTCAACATTAGCTGGCTTGAAGCTTGTGTGAACCTCCCATTCTCGTTTTTGAAATTGTTGTTAGTATTAGTAGCTGATTCTCAGCTACATTTTCGTGTCCTATGCGAGCGTTATAGTTGATGTTACAGTTTGCGTCAAAGAAGCAACATCAGGGTTTGTGCATCTTAAAAAAGCTAGCCTAGTTTTTCAATTTGCAATCCTTGTTAATCTTTGCCATCCTTAACAATCCTCATTCTGTTTTGATTTATTCTTGCCTCTTAAGTATTTTTCTACCCCAGAACACGATCATTTCAAGGTTTTATTCTAGTTAAAGGCAACTGTTTATGACCTTAAAAATGACTCTCAATATCGTGACGTAACTCCTAAAATGTTGTTTATTCTCAGGTTGCATTATCGTTCAGACGATTGATGTTATGTCTTTAAATGTGAAAACGATTCCTAGATTTTTTTGCAAAACAGCCATATTTCTTTGAAATACAAGTGGTTTCTTTTGTTTTATTCCAATGAGAATATTGTGTTCCAAACTCGCATCTTCTAAAAGTACAGACTCATCCCAAAAACAGAAATTGTTTGACATCATCAGGTGTTTAATTTGTCTGGTGTGTTTTTAGTTTTTTGTCCTTCGATTTATACGTTCATCTTATTATGACCATGCTAACTTGTTACCCAGGCAGTGAGGCCTGGGTTTAAATTTCGGCTCGGTTTTTTTTTTCCCTCATTCAGTCACAAATCGCCGTCTGGTCTCTAAAGCACATGCATCACCTGTGCATACCTGCAGCACATGGAATTTACAGAAGTTGTCGTCAAGAAAAGTGAGCATGGATTCCATGATTTCTGGGGCCATGAAATCATATACAAATGAACACACCGTTCAAGGTACACCAACACTAAAGGACATTAAGCGTTTTCGGCACGGATTGGTCTGCAAGCCTTACAAGAGATCAATTTACGAGTTAACATTTTGAGTGAATTTATCAAAAATCATGTTATACCAGAGGAGCCATCAACCAGGGCTATCAACTCTTCAACTTGATAAAAAGCATCTTCAGAAGCGTCA